TGTAATACCATCAAACATCCACATCTGCCTATCCCACGTCCTGGGTAAGGACTCGATAGGTAGACAAAATGCCAAATCCAGTCTGAACATCTGGCCGACTGTGCGATGATCCATAATAATAATAAAGTTGGAAGGGACCTTGGAGGTCATCTTGTCCTGCCCTCAGGCACTTTGGAGAATAGCTTGACTCCCTCTTCTTTGTGGCAGCCCCTGAGATATTGGAAGACTGCTATCATGTCCCCCCTCGTCCTTCTCTTCATTAAACTAGACATACCCAATTCCGTTCCTGATATATTTTAGCCTCCAGTCCCCTAATCATCTTTGTTGCTCTTCTCTGTACTCTTCCTAGAGTCTCAACATCTTTTTTACATTGTGGTGACCAAAACTGGATGCAGTATTCCAAGTGTGGCCTTACCAAGGCATTATAGAGTGGCATTAACACTTCAGTGATCTTGATTCTATCCCTGTTAATGTTAGTTAGAATCCCAACATAAAGGATGGGTAACATTTCCAGTTACCTGGGAACCTCAGTGTAACGGCTTATGGCTTTCTTCCCTGTTTCTAGCAAATCAGGGCTTTACTAAAATCACAAATAACAAATTAAGCAAGAGAAATCACTTGCTGAAAATCTGCATGCAGGTAGTCCTCAACTTACAGCCATTCATTCAGTGACAGCTGGAAGTTACAACAGCACCGAAAAAAATGTGAGCTATGACTATTTTTTTACCCTTATGACCGTTGCAGCATCCCCATGGTCACGGGATCAAAATTCAGATGCATGGCAAATGATTCATATTTATGACGGTTGCAGCGTCCCCAAGGTCACGTGATCATTTTTGTGACCCTCTAGCAAGCAAAGTCCATGGGAAGCCAGAATCACTTAACATCTGGGTTACTCACTCAATAACTTCAGTGATTCTACTGAGCCACTGTGGCAAGAAAGATCATAAAATGGGACAAAGCTCACTTAATTGTCTTGCTTAGCAACAGAAATCTTGGACTTAATTGTGGTCGTAAGTTGAGGACTACCTGTCCTAGCCCTACGATTTGGGTTTTAACACAGACTTCAGGCCGACTGGTTCCACAATGTTATGGTCCTTTTTAAAAGTGGAAAGGGAGAAGTACAGATCCATAGCCAGAAACTGCAGGAACGGACTTGGGTATGTCTAGTTTAACAAAGAGAAGGACAAGGGGGGACATGATAGCAGTATTCCAATATCTCAGGGGCTGCCATAAAGAAGAGGGAATTAAGCTATTTTCCAAAGCACCTGAAGGCAGGACAAGAAGCAACGGGTGGAAACTAATCAAGGAGAGAAGCAACCTAGAACTAAGGAGAAACTTCCTGACAGTGAGAACAATTAATCAGTGGAACAGCCTGCCTCCAGAAGCAGTAAATGCTCCAACACTGGAAGTTTTTAAGAAGAGACTGGACAGCCACTTGTCCGAAATGGTGTAGGGTTTCCTGCCCGAGCAGGGGGTTGGACTAGATGACCTCCAAGGTCCCTTCCAACTTTACTAATATGAAGATAAAAGGCCCTCGAGGGATATAACTAAGTGATGGCACTGGAAGCCAGTGCAGCACAGCAATATCTAAAATATATGTAGCTTGTTATTTTCATTTATTCAGGAAAAGTACCAATGTCGAAGATGATGCAGCTACAGCTACAAGTTGTGCTGGGAATTATTTATGCTGGCTTGGCTAATAGAAGCTTCTATCCAATTCCATCATATATTTTCCTCTCCTAATATGCGGACTTTAAAAAAAATAATAATAAAAGCTAAAGATTCAGAGAAATGATCCTTGGACACAGGTGGGGAAAATTCATTCTGAGAGCTAACATTATACCTGGATGACTTGCCATGGATTAACAAAGATTTCAGCTTGCCAAATGATAAAGCAATCATAATGTGACATTTGTTGCTGGGTTATTTCACATACCCAACTCAGCCAAGCACAGTTTGTGGGAATCCAGCAACCACAGTTTGTGACCTCGTGTGCCCAGGAAATCAAACTTGTAAGTATGGTTAAATTAAACTTAGAGAAAGGCACACTCTATCGACATAATTACTCTCTTCAGTTACAGAAAAAGTAAAAAGCTGGGTTTGGGGTTTTTAAAAAATAAATCTGAAATTTTAATTCTGCTGAAGAAGATAATCTGCTGAGCTGAGCATGTGCTCAAAAATATGCACACTCCCATTCTACTGTACCCTTTCAGCATTAGCAATGTTGTTATGTGAACTGTAGAAAAAGAGTAAAGAATATTAAGCAAGAGAAAAGGCATCAGATAAAAAGGAAACACAAATATAGCTACATCTAGTTACACAAATACTGTTTACCGTGCTTCTCTATTTTCTATCCTTACATCATTCTCTTTTACAAATCTATGAGAATGGCAGAGTTCATGTTTTGTTCTAAGCTAGGAACCCTGATTTATAAATATTATAACTCAGTTCACACAATATAATAAAACAAAACTTCACATTACTTGAAGTATGAAAGATGAACTAAGCCAGTGGTTCTCAACCTTTCTAATGCCGTGACCCCATAATACAGTTCCTCATGTTGTGGTGACCCCCAACCATAAAATTATTTTTGTTTCTATTTCATAACTGTAATTTTGCTACTGTTATGAATCGCAATGTAAATATCTGATATGCAGGATGTATTTGCATTGAACATAATTAAAGCATAGTGATTAATCACAAAAACAATATGTAATTATATATTGTTAAATATTTATTTTTAATTACAAAAAAATGAAATTTTGTCTTGAAGCATGGTGTAGCATGGGTAACAGTCTTAATATAACAACAGTAAACTACATCCACATGGAAAGAAATAAGCATTTCAAAAACCAATAGAATAAGAGGGAGTAGCACAGCTAAGGAAAAGGGGAAAAAATGGCGGACAGTCTTGTTTGGCGACCCCTGTAAAATGGTTGTTTGACCCCAAATGGGGTCGCGACCCATAGGTTGAGAACCGCTGAACTAAGCCAAGTTGGGTACTCAAAATACACAAGCTATGATATACAGGTAGTCCTCAGCTTACAACAGTTCATTTAGTGACCGTTCAAAGTTACAATGGCACTGAAAAAAGTGATATATGACCGTTTTTCACACTTAACAACTGTTGCAGCATCTCCATGGTCACGTGATCACAATTCAGACACTTGGCAATTGATTCATATTTATGATGGTTGTGGTATCCTGGGATCATGTGATCACCTTTTGCAATCTTCTGGCAAGCAAAATCAATGAGAAAGCCATATTCACTTAACATCCATGTTACTAACTTAACAACTGCAGTGATTCACTTAACAACTGTGGCAAGAAAGGTCGTAAAATGAGGCAAAACTCACTTAACAATTGTCTCACTTAGCAACAGAAATTTTGGCCTCAATTGGGATTATAAGTCGAGGACTACCTATTTTAAATGTGTTACAACTGCTTATGTATAAAATGCTAAATCAACCACGGACCCGCTTTTAAATTCCTTTTGGGGCCACAGGCAACCAAGACTTCACTTTAGATTTAATCATACCATTTCTTCAAGCCTTCACAAACCCCGTGACGACATTGTGGGTCCCTCCCGAGGTTCCCGGATCACAGTTTGAGAACCACTGTGCCAAATCATATTTTATTAACATAAGAGTTGGCTTCACACATGCTAAAGCAAGGCAAATGAACTGTTCTAGGTATGCACACAATCTATGTCTCCCCTCAATACTATGCAAGCTCTGGGCTCCACGTGAGGGACTTTTTTTTTTTTAATCTACAGTAGTTTGGTCTTGTTTTTGAAATGAGACATTTGAAAACTCTGCCTGTCTCTTTTCCCTAGACTGTAGTCACTTCTTGACCCAGTTCCAAATTTCAGAATTTCCCCCACCCCATCAAGAGTTTACCAGATCACAACCTAGTAATCTTACACTGCAAATGTCAATGAGGCAATCATTTACCAGGTCAAACATCTATTTGTAGATATAAAAAGTGCTGCCTTTTATTCTTCCTGTTTGCTAAGATTGCATGACAAAGTTGGCCCACCTTTAGAATGACTGAGATGGAAAACAAAGAAAATCTGCTTAATGAAGGCTGATTCATGGCATGGGAAAATCCAAAATTAGCTACCGCAATAGCTAACTTAATTACAAAGGAAACAATTCCTACAGAAGTTCTAGCACTACAGTTAATTATAACTGAAACACACACTACACAATTACCCCACTTTTGGGGGGGCACTTATCTATGATGCGTGGCATCATGCACCAGGCACGCTGGCTCAATAACTCCCTAAGCTCAAATGTCATTGGCCAGCTTACATCCAAGTCTTTCACCAATACAGGTAGTCCTCGACTTACGACCACAATTTATGTTGCTAAGTGAACAATTTGTTACATGAGTTTTGCCCCACTTTAGGGCTTTTCTTGCCACAGCTGTTAAGTGGATCACTGCAATTGTTAAATTAGTAACACAGCTGTTAAGTAAATCTGACTTCCCCATTGATTTTGCTGGTCAGAAGGTTGCAAAAGGAGATCACCTGAAACTGGGACATTGCAACTGTCATAAGTACCGGTATGAATCACTTGCCAAGCATCTGAATTTTAATCACATGACTACTGGGATGACTGTAAGTATGAAAAACATTCATAAGTTGCTTTTTTTCATTGCTGCTGTAACTTCAAACGGTCACTAGACAAACTGTTGTAAATCGAGGAGTACCTGTTTACAGAAAAATCCCTCAGTCGCCTCACAAATCTTAACCATATCAGGAACTACTAACCGGCCACCTACCCAATGTGTTGTGTGAACCCATCCTACCATCCTCGGTAACGCCACATCACGGGAATACAAGAATCGTGTACACCGTGGCTCGATTTCCCGTGTCACGTTGACCCGGCCAGAGATCAGATTCCGACCTGTCTCCAAACACAGCTAGAAAACCCGAGTGTGTCCCAGGCCTCCCGCCAAAATGAATGGACAAGGCCTGTCGCCGAGTCGATCACCTGGCTGATCCCGCGTCCCCTAATCGTGCAAAACGGTCCCCGCGAAAAGCGACTCCCGTGTCACGGCCTGATGAGTTCCTCCTCTCCGGCTGCCCCGGAGCAGATCCAGCAAAGGGCGGCGGAGAAAGCGAGAGCGCCTGCCTGGCTTTGCAAAGCCGCTTAGCTCCCCAGTCCGAGCTGCCTGCGCACCGGGCGGCTCTTAAAGGCACAGCAGCTGCGGGCAAGCCGCTCTTCTCGGCGGAGGGCGAGGAAACAGCCCCGATGCCTGCCCGCTTTAAGTAAACCGGCCCCGTCCAGGAACTTTATTTATTTCCCCCCCCCCCTGAAATCTTTCCCTTCTCGGATTTGCAAGGGATGAGATGGCAAGAAGCGTCAACTCTGATCCTCGGCTTTGCCCCCGCCGGCGCCCTCTCAGGACCCTTTTTTTCTTTCCTCCGCAGGCAGTTACAAGTCCATCCTTGCAAGTTTGTGGCCTTAATTTGGGCACAAAACAAACAAACAAAAAAAACCCATTGGGAATTTCCCTTAAAATCCCATTAGCTTCTCCCCCTACTTGCAAACCGTGGATGGATGGAGGAAGGGGCGGGGGAGCTTTCTCGGGGAGGAAAAAAAAAAAAGTCCTGTCCTGCACAAGATTTAAAAAGAATAAGAACTTCCTCGGATCGAGACCGAGTAAATCACCTTTCTTCGGCAAAATAAAATAAAATAAAATAAAAATACACTTTGTATGATTGGGAAAGTCCAACAATACCGCAATCAACTCCGTTCCAAGATACGGTCATGAAGCAATTCGAGTCCCGTCTAGATCTCTTACGTGTTCCCAATTTCTGCATTCATAAATTTCCCCCTCCCAATAAACTACCCATTGATTTCCCCGATCACCCACCAGATCTTGCCGCGGATCAAGCCGGCAGCCGCTTCTCTGCTCCCTTCCGCCAGCTGATCTCGCTCCCTCCTTTGCTCTCCCTTGTTGTGTATTTCCCCTCTTGGGTTAGCGCGCCGGCGCGTCAGATCCGGGAAGGGTCTCTCAACTAAAGCCTTAGCAACCGCGCAGGCGTCCCCGGCAACACAGGGTACCAACGTTCTAAGCCCGCCCCCAACCCCTCCACGTTGCCTTTAGAAGCTTTGAAGGTGAGCGGTCGTCCTTCGAGCTTGTGGGAAGCTTTTTCAGAGGTCGGGAAGATGCACTTGGATTCGAACCGGGTTTATTCCCTGTTGCAAGTCCAAGATGTTCTTCCCGAAGTTCTGAAACTTGTTTCTCCAAACAATTCCACTATGTATTCTAAATAATCTGTGATTAATATATACTGTACTCTGTGTATTTGTATGCATGTGTATGTATATGTAACATATGTATATGTATGTGCATGTATGGATATTGGCATATATGTAGGTCTTTAGTTATTCAGGTTTTCTCCCGTGTAAAATTGGAAGTGTCTTGGTGATGTTTCGGTGAAATCCCATTTGTCATCTTCAGGCTGGTGTTTTCAGCTTCGTGCTTCGAGGAGCAATATATATTGGTATATATATATATACATACATACACACACACACACACACACGTGTGTGTGTGTGTGTGTGTGTGTGTGTGTGTGTGATCTTATTTAAAGTCAGCCCAGAACTATGAACACATCCCCCCAACTTTTCAAAGGATCCCACCACCTGAACCACGCCAGCATTGCTCAATTTCTGCAAGATTAAATAAAATTAAATAAGGATGCTGCCCATGGTTCTGGAATGGCAACTCTGTTAACTATTAGAACAGTCTTCCATCAATCTGGTTAATCATTGACTTTTCAGTGAGTGAGGCTTCCTGAATCCAATTGGCTGGACTCATATCACAACAAACTTGTTAAACACAGACAGTGGCAGAGTTCCCACAATAAAGCTTAACAAGGTCAGCTAAAGGCTTTGGATATGGATTTGCACACTATAAACTTGGTTGGTTTTCATCTAAGGCTAGATTTTGGGGTGGCTAAGCCTGCTGTGTAGACAGAGCAGATTGGGTTGGTTTCTTCCCAACTTGATATGTTGTCTGAATCTGGAAAATGAACACATTCAATTAAGAACATGTCAATGTGTTTGCGAAGGCATCAGTTTTCTCCAGTGTGTAGTACAAGTTCAGCATTAGCTGTTTTTGGTACACCTGCTTGCAATTTGTTTAACCATAAAAAGATCACATAACTTAGTTTCCATAGAGTTCTGGGTCAAAAGTACTGGACCAGAACTTTTGTTGTTATTAAATGAGTCATGCCCTATTTCAGTGGTAGTGAAGCTATGGCACGGGTGCCAGAGGCAGCACTCAGAGCCCTCTCTGTGGGCACGCGCGCCGTCACCCCAGTCCTAGGCCCTCTGCCGTGTGCAAAAAAAAAATAAATTTCAATCAGTCAATTTCAACTTCTCGCATGAAAAAAAAAATCTTGCGAAGTTGGAATTTATTGATTGAACTTTTTAGTCTCACCCAGTCTGCTGTTACCACCACAGCCACGCCCACCCAATGGGCCACACCCACCCGGCACCCAATGATGCATAAGTGGGTTTTGGGTTGCAGTTTGGGCACTCGGTCTCTAAAAGGTTCGCCATCACTGCCCTATTTTATGATCTTTTTTTGCTGTCATCATTAAGCAAATTCAGCTTCCTAATTGACGTTGGTTGTCAGAAACTGGCTGGGAAAGTCGCAAGTGGCGATAATATGATCCCAAGATGCTGCCGCCATTGAAATTAGATGCCAACTGAAAAGCACCCATATTTTGGTCATGTGACCATGGGTAAAGCACAACAGTCATAAGTCTAAGGAGTGGTCGTAAGTCATTTTTTTCTAGCAGCTGTAATGTCAAATGATCACTAAATGAATGGTTGTATGTTGAGGACTACCTGTACAGACAGACATATGTGTATGCATATGCATATATAAATACATGTACACAAGCCAGTTTGGTGTAGAGGTGAAGGCGCCAGGCTGTAAACTGGGAGATTGTGAATTCTAGTACTGCCTTAGACAATGAAGGCAGTGGGTGATCTTGGGCCAGTCTCTCCATCTCAGCCCTAGGAAGAATAAGGCAAGGGCAATCCCTGAAAAATTCAGGGATTATTCAGGCAATCACTGGGCATCAAGACTCACTTGAAGACACAAATTTTGCTTAATATATATATGCCCACAGATGGATTTATTTACAGCAGAGGTTCTCAACCTTTTCTTCACCATAGACCCCCTTTTAAATACCTTGTGTGGCCACGGACCATGGCCACAGACCCCCCAAGACTAAACTCAAATTTAAATCATAACAATTATTCAAGCATTTGCGGACCCCCCCCCTGTGATGACATCATGGCTCCCTAGGGGTCCACGGACCACAGGTTGAGAACCACTGATTTACAGCATTCATTCATTCATTCATTCAGTCATTCATTCATTCATTAGGGCTTCTTTAATTAGTGCTGGTTCGTGCTGAAAGCTGGAGACCATCAATGTCATTTGTCTTTCTGATGCTCATATGCCCAACAGGATATAATAGACACCCTGATTACAAATTGGTATGTATGGAATACCAATTTGTAATCAGTCCATCTCTTTGGCAGTATTCAAAAGCTTTCTCCTTTTGCATCAAGGTGTAATGTTCCAGGTTGTAATTTTTCAGAGCTGACCCAGAAATTTCTAGGGCAACTTACTCCAATTCAGAGGCTTCTAGCCCTAAAATAGTTATAATAATAATAGTAAAGTTGGAAGGGACCTTGGAGGTCATCTAGTCCAACCCCTTGCTCAGGCAGGAAACCCTACACCATTTCGGACAAATTGCTGTCCAGTCTCTTCTTAAAAATTTCCAGTTCTCAATTAAATTGGAACTCTCGCACTATTGAATCCTATTTCTCCTAACAGCTAACCTAAAATTGCTCTTTACTGAGTCAGAAAAACATATGCCCAGGGCTGATCCCTCCATCACACACACACACACACACACACACACACACACACACACACACACACACGGGGGGGGGGGGGGAGAGGGACCAGTTCTTTAGAGTGGTTTCCTCTCCTAGCCTTGGGGTCTGTTCCAACCTTTCTGGAAGGAATTACATTATAAACAAAGGTTGATGCAGTGGCTTATGATTGTATTTACTTGGAAAACAATCAGGAACTGATAACAGCCTGTCAAGTGGAAAATGTCAAGTGGCTGCTTAAGGAGATGTAAAACAGCAGAGCATGGTCTGAAAATCTAAGAGTGGAGTGACTTGAGAAGGTCTGGCTGTAAATCATAATTATTATTCCTCCTCCTCCTCCTCCTCCTCCTCCTCCTCCTCCTCCTCCTCCTCCTCCTCCTCCTCCTCCTCCTCCTCCCACTGAGAATTCTATGATTTGAGCCACAGCAGCTATTTTTAGATTTTGTTTAGGCCAAAGAGAGAGCTGGGCAAACTGCCCACCCTTAAGAGGGTTGTTGCAATATTATCATTCCAGGCTGCAGATTCTCCTGGGCAAAATGCCCTCAATGAGATTGGGTGCCCCACCAAACTCCTTTCCCAAATCCAACGCAGCTACCAACTCAGCCTTGTTTCCCTTTAAGTATGTCCAGTTTAGCTGGAATCTAAAAGCTGTTGCACTTTCTCTATTAGGCTTCTAGCTCAGCAGTTTTCAACCTGTGGGTTGCGACCCCATTTGGGGTTGAACGCCAAACAACGCAGTCCGCCTTTTTTCCCCCTTTTCCTTAGCTGTGCTACTCCCTTTTATTCTATTGGCTTTTGAAAGCTAATAGAATAGAATCTTTTGAATAGAGTCTAATTTTATTGGCTTTCAAAAGCCAACAGGAATTGTCCAGGCTGTCTCTGCCCTGCTGAGCCCACCAAAAGTCCCATTCTGCAAACGGTGCTGCAAGTTGTCTGCAGCGAAGGCGAGCTGTCTGGAAGCTTCCACCCCTCCCTGCTGAGCAACTACTAAAAATGTAAGTAAAAGAGGGCCAGGGGTGGGAGGTGGGAGGCCGGCGGGTGCAGGGAGGGTTGCTGGCGCGTGTGGGGCCCAGCGGGTGCCTTACCTCCCTTGGGTTGGGCCAGCTGGTGGACCAGCCGGTGGTCACCCTACGCGTCTCTGCCCCTTGCCAGCTATGCCTCGGCCGGCGCAGGGGGCGGCACCATGCATGCGCGGCGCTCCCGGGCAGGGAAAGTCCTCAACTTACGACTGGTTGGTAGTCCTCGACTTACGACTGGTTGAGTAGTCCTCGACTTACGACCAGTTGGGGGTCATGGCATTAAAAAGGTTGAGAACCACTGTTCTAGCTGGACTGGAAGAGGTAAACTGGCATGCAAGGATATAAGAACATCTGGTGTCCTGTTTAAAAAAAAAAATCTAAAAAATTAAACAATAACTGCAAGGGACTTCCAGAGACTGCTATCTCCCAGATATAAGATTCTACAGGTAGTCCTCAACTAACAACCGCAACTGAGTGCCAAATTTCTCTTGGTAAGTGAAAGATTTGCTAAGTGAGTTTTGCTCCATTGTACGACCTTTCTTGCCACCGTTGTTAAGCAAATCAATGCAGCTGATAAATTAGTAAACACGGTTGTTAAGTGAATCTGTCTTCCCCGTTGACTTTGCTTGTCAGAAGGTCGCAAAAGGGGATCACGTGACCCTGGGACACAGCAACGGTCATAAATATGAACCAGTTGCCAAGCAACTGAATTTTGATCACATGACCATAGGGATGAGGCAAAGGTCATAATTGTGAAAAACAGTCATAAGTCACATTTTTCAGTGCCGTTGTAACTTTGAACGGTCACTAAACAAACTGTTGTAAGTCGGGGACTACCTGAATTTGTACACAATCATTAACATTCTTGCTCCTTTGTATCTTGCCTTCTGTATGTAAAGGGCCAGAAATGGTTTGGTCAGGAGAGGGAGTTTCCACCTGTTCCTCTTTTAATAGCAGCCAGTTCTGATATGAGGCTGTTTGCTTTTCACTGTGTAACAGCGGTTCTCAACCTGTGGGTCGGGACCCCATTTGGGGTCGAATGACCATTTCACGGGGGTCGCCAAACAACGCAGTCTGCCATTTTTTCTCCCTTTTCCTTAGCTGTGCTACTCCCTTTTATTCTATTGGCTTTTGAAAGCCAATAGAATAGACTCTCTTGAATAGAGTCTAATTCTATTGGCTTTCAAAAGCCCATAGGAATTGTCCATGCTGTCTCTGCCCTGCTGAGCCCGCCAAAAGTCCCATTCTGCAAACGGTGCTGCACCAGTTGAGTAGTCCTCGACTTACGACCGGTTGAGTAGTCCTCGACTTACGACCGGTTGGGGGTCGCGGCATTAAAAAGGTTGAGAACCACTGCTGTGTAAGAAATGGTTGCCGTGCCTTCCTTGTTCATCGTGGCTTTTTTTAGCAGAAACATTAGAACTGCCTGTCTGATGGTCAGCTGCATGTGGAACACATGCCACAATGTACTCATGGACGTTCTTCATGTGTGCCTTAAATGTCATGCTTTAAGAGTACCCTGCACTCTTTCATGCAGCTTTTATCAACAGAGGTCTTGCTTGCTGTAAACACAAGGAGGGAAAACAGAGGCACAAGCACAACACCACCATCTTCAACTCACACCCTATTATAGACAGAATCTCTTCCAGTGTTTCTCAGCCTGGGCAACTTTAAGAAGTAGGAACTTCAACTCCCAGAATTCCCCAGCTGCAAACGGCCATAAATCCGGGCAGATTTCCAAGTGCCCAAAATGTGATCATGTGACCGATGAAAGGACAACCATCAGAACTTCAAATCTAGGTCGTAAGTACCTTTTTTGGAGGGGGGTGTCTGTCACAAGTTCAGTCACTGAGTGATTGTTGGACTACCTGTAGATGAAAACTAAATCATTTGTCTTCTTTCTTAGGAATGCCTTCTTATCAAGGGGATTGATGAGAACCTGCTACCAAGTTACTTAGGAATGCTTTTAGTGTAGGAATGTTGGTGATAAGGTAGAAGCTTTGGCATGCCTTCCAACATTTAGTTGAATCAAACCCTTGGCTGAACCACGTTGTATGACTACTAAAATGCAGGGCTTTTTTTTGTTATAGAACGCCCAGAACGGCGTTCTGGCACCTTTTTTGGATGGAAACTTGTCGGGTAGGCAAGGCAGGTTGTATGACGTGTGTGAGTTCTGGCCAGAACAGGAGCCCTGCCCAACACAAAGGAGGCAAAGCGGCCGACTAGCAAGCTCGAGTAGAGGTGGTAGAGCAGAGGTCACTAATCATTGTTGAATGGTGGACTGGAAGAAAAGGGAGGGGGAAGCATTTTACATGCGTGCATGCGCACCCGGGGCCGCGAGCACACACATGCTGCAAATGGGGCAGGGCTAGTGCCTGTGTGATACTCACTAGCCCTGTCCCATTCTTGCGTGGTGCAGTGCCTTGTATCTGCACCCTGTGGTGCAGTGACGGCCATTTTTGCGCCTTGCAGCACGGTGGCCTATTTTTGCGCCCCCAGTTCTTGCATGCCAGAGGCGGCAGTCAGAGGCGCCTCCCTGCCCCCTCAGGGCACCACAATGCTGATGCAGCCCTGGCACTTTGCGATATATAAGTGGGTTTTGGGTTGCGGTTTGGGCACTCGGTCTCTAAAAGGTTCGCCATCGCTGGTGTATAATAATGCATGCTCCGATGATTGACTCCTGACAACATGTGCATTTTAAAATTGTATAAAATGGGTTCCACTCCAAGCAGGGGTGATCCACATTCTTGGACAACTTTTTATTTGCAAATAAAAGTCTTATTACTTTCATTTTTCTTCAATCAGAATAGAGTTGGGACCTTGGAGGTCTTCTAATCCAAGCCCTGGCTCAGATAGGAAATCCTATACCATTTCAGACAAACAGTTATCCAGTCTCTTCTTAAAAACTTCCAGTGTTAGAGCATTCACAACTTCTGGAGTCTAGTCGTTCCACTTATTAATTGTTCTCACTGTCAGGAAATTTCTCCTTAATTCTAGGTTGCTTCTCTCCTTGACTAGTTTCATCTATTGCAGTGGTTTTCAACCTTTCTAATGCCGCGACCCCATAATACAGTTCCCCATGTTGTGGTGACCCCCAACCACTTATACATCACCGGGTGCCAGGGGCGTGGCCAAAGAAAAGGGGGAAAAAATGGGGACAGCCTTGTTTGGCGACCCCCGTGAAATGGTCGTTCAACCCCAAATGGGGTCCCGACCCACAGGTTGAGAACCACTGATCTATTGCTTCTTGTTTTGCCTTTGGAGAATAAGTTAACTCCATCTTCTTTGTGGCAGCCCCTCAAATACTGGAATACTGCTATCATGTCACCTCTAGTCTTTCTTTTCTCTAAAGTAGCCATGGCCAATTCCTTTCCTTTCCATACCCTTTCCTCCTATCTGGTGTGGTTCTTGGCCCCACATGCTAGGCAAAAGGACTGGAGTCTTCTGAGATAATTATTCTGGGTTTACACTGTTGCTCTTAGTTTTAGTTGCACATATAACCCCAGGTAACTCTAGGCTTGCATATGACCCGGTTTGACTCACATTGTATTGGTTTGATACTCCAGTCTGGAAGTGTCAGGACATTTATAAAAATGTCTTAGAAAGTACGGCTGACTCTGCTTGCAAAGGGGAATAAAAGATTTGGCCATCTGGTGCCCACTCTGCTTGCAGGATTTCAAGTTTAGCCATTCAAACTTAACTGCCCTTTGCAGAGCAGGAAATTTTGAAATAGCGTTGTATTGCCTCACCTCTTGTTTTGACTGCTTAGCCCAGTGTTTCTCAACCTTGACAATTTTAAGGCATGTGGACTGCAACTCCCAGAATTCCACAGCCTTAGGTAGGCTTAGGACTACAAGAGATGACCTTTTGCTGCTTAAGTGATTGGAGCCATGCTAAATCTCCAATCTTGGGCAAAATCACACACATGATGGGGATCTCATATGGCAGGGGTCTTCAAACTTGGCCCTTTTACGACTTATGGACTTCAGCTCCCAGAATTCCTCAGCCAGCCACACTGGCTGAGGAATTCTGGGAATTGAAGTCCACAAGTCATAAAAGGACCAAGTTTGAAGACCCCTGTCATATGGCTACTAACTAATTTGTGACAGAAATTTTGTGGAAAACGAAAGGACTCTTACGAATTCCAGAGGGTTTTAGCAGAGAGATTTATTGCGCAGGTTCAGAAGCAGTACCAACCAGCAATTCTGAACCCTGCGTTCAGACTTCAGTTTTATACTTTCCGTTTCTCAGGAACAAAGGAATACACATTGTAATACACATTGTAATACATTAGGTTCGTTTCTCATGGGTATACAATGGAGAGAGTTTGCTACATTCATTGTATCCAAGTGCAATGTGCATTAGCTTAGTCACATACTACTAACACAGCATTATTCCAGTAATTATGCAGACACATCATTATTCTAGTGATTGTTTATTATTCCACATTAGAGCCCTAGCACTAAATTAGAGTTGTGAAGTACAGGTAATCCTCAACTTACAAATCATTTGTTTAGCAACCCTTCAAAGTTACAATGACATTGAAAGATATGACTTACGATCACTCCTCGTCCTTATGACTGTCACAGCATCCCTGTGGTCAAGTGATCAGAATTTGGATGCATGTATTCATAAAAATGGCAACATCTTGGGGTCAAGTGATTGCTCTTTGTGACATTCCCAGACAGCTTTCAACAATCAAAATTAATAGGGGAAACTGGATTCACATAAAGTCCAGGTGATTTGCTTAAGAACTGCAGTGATTTGCTTAAGAAACAAGGCAAAAAAGGTCATAAAGTCAGGTGACTCACTTAATGACTGCCTTGCTTAGCAATGAGAATTCTGGTCCCAACTGTGGTTGTAAGTCGAGGATTACCTGTAGTTACTCAGATGGACTGAACCCTCAGAGATCCAGACTCCTATCTACCTTCAATTGCCAAAAATCCATTGGATGATTTGGGGCCAATCATTTTTCTACCTTGCAAGGTTGTTGTGAAAAAAAAAATCAGACAATGAAGGGCTATGCACACTGCTGTAGGCTCCTTGGGCATAATCTAATAAGCCATAAGCAAATAAAGAGCATGTTGTGGGAGAATTTTCTTGCTCTTTCTCACCAGCATAACTTCTGAACAGGAAAAACTGGTTGCCGGCATCGCAAAAGGAGATGCTGATGATGTTGTAACGTGAAGCCTTCTGGGAATCCTTGGTGTAAAATGAGTCAGAACAGGGCTGAGTTCCCATAAAGGGAGGCTCACAGAAAGCAAGCTTGACAGGTGCATCTTTGGGAGTGTCCCCAGACGTTTTGCGGCAAACTATAGTTCCTTTTCAGGGGGTTTGGTGGATAGATAGAGAAATAATTCATCAAAACAAATTGCTTTTTGGAAATCCAAAAGGCTTCCTTACTGTTTCCCTGGCTGGCCCTGTCAGACAAGCTTTAGGGCAGAGGTGGGGAACCATGGGCCCTTTTATGACTTGTGGACTTCAACTCCCAGAATTCCCGAGCTGGCCATGCTGCCTCATGATTTCTGGGAGTTGAAGTCCACAAGTCATAAAAGGGCCCATTGTTCCCCACCCCTGTTTTTGGGTGAGTGATCCGATTGGGAACTTTGGAGGCATCTCATGGCACATTCATAACACGGTTGATAAGGCTGGCACGGCAAGTCCCAAAATATCCACTTATCAGAATATAAACAGCTGAATTTGCTTTCTGGCATCTGGCTTTTGATCTGGGGAGGAGGCAGTAGCCTAAAGTCCCCAAGGGAGCTGCTGCGGATGAAGAAAGAACCTGAGTCCACTGGTGCCAGCCCAACATTTTCACTGCTAAATCAAGCTGAGAAGGAGTTACTGTCCCAGAATCCTCAGGCAGCTTCTCTGGCTGAAGAGGGATCTAGAACCTGGGCCTGCTGGTACCAGCCCAATATTTTCACCACTAGACCAGGCTGAGTGGGAGGAACTGAGCCTGAATCCTCAAGGAAGCCTCTGTAGCTGAAGGGGGACCTGGAACTTGTGTCTGCTGGTACCAGCCCCAACATCTTCACCACAGGACCAGGCTGAGAGGAACAATCTGGCCCAGAGTCCCCAAGGGTTACTGGGTTGAAGAAGGACCTAGAACCTGGGTCTCCCTAGTGCCAGCCCAACATTTTCATCACTAGACCAGGCTGAGAAGGAGGAATGCTCCCAGAGTCCCCAAAGGAGCTTCTGTGGCTGAAGGAGGACCTAGAACCTGGATCTTCCCACTCCTGGTCCAGCACCTTCATCATCTTTCACCCTACTCCCAATAAAATGTGTGCATGAACAATGAAAGGCAGCCAGCTTTTGCACTCCTCTAGCTGGATCACTCTGCCCAGGATGATGGTCTGGGGAATGTTTCTTCTTCCAATCTCATTCCCTGTATTAATTAAAGCTCAGCTTGGCTTCTTACAGCTAGCATCCCAAGACAGGATCTCTTCTCCCATCCAGAAGACAGCCTCCTTATCCCAAGTGTCCTAGGGAGGGGATCTGATTCTGATGGCCATGTGGCTTGCAGAGTTTACATTTCACAACATCCAGAAATAACAACAGTCACCACCCCCCTGTGGTTATTGGTCAGCCAGGTTATTCAATATCCTGACCTTCTGAACACAAACAGCGACACCAAGAAAACCTGGAATGGTTCAAAGTCCTCAGGGCTGGGAATGGTGATCGGTCAAGTGCTACCTGTACTTTTCAGACAACAAATATTTACAGGGTTTCTAGCTGTCCAGGAATAGAAACTTGTGGATTTGTAATACTGCAGAGTTTCTGCAGCAGTTCTTTACTGCTTCTTTTTAATGGCCCTGTTTTTCAGATATCAGCAGCTTCAGACAAAGGAAGAGGGAGGGAGGGAGAGAGAGAGAGGGAGAGACACAGAGAGGAAGAGGGAGGGAAGGAGGGAGGGAGAGAAAGAGACACAGAGGAAGAGGGGGGGAAGGAGGGAGGAGGGAGTGAGAGAGAGAGGGAGAGACCGAGAGAGGAAGAGGGAGGGAGGGAGGGAGGGAGGGAGAGACACACAGAAAGAGGGAGGGAGGGAGAGAGAGACACACACACAGAGAGGAAGAGGGAGGGAAGGAGGGAGGGAGAGAGAGAGGGAGAGACCCAGAGAGGAAGAAGGAGGGAGGGAGGGAGAGAGACACACAGAAAGAGGGAGGGAAGGAGGGAGGGAGAGAGGGCGACACAGAGAGGAAGAGGGAGGGAAGGAGGGAGGGAGGGAGAGACACACACAGAGAAGAAGGAGGGAGGGAGGGAAACACACAGAAAGAGGGAGGGAAGGAGGGAGGGAGAGAGGGAGAGAGAGAGACACACACAGAGAGGAAGAGGGAGGGAAGGAGGGAGTGAGAGAGAGAGGGAGAGACCCAGAGAGGGAGGGAGGGAGAGACACAGAAAGAGGGAGGGAAGGAGGGAGTGAGTGAGGGAGGGAGACACAGAGAGGAAGAGGGAGGGGGAGAGAGAGAGAAATGGAGGGAGAGGGAGGGAGGGAGGGAGGGATGGAGAGAGAGGGGGTGAGGGAGGGAAAGATTTTCTCCTAAGCGTTTATTATCTCTAGGCTAGGCCAGCAAGAAATGAACGTTGATTCTGGTTTTCCATTTGAATCATACATCATTTCTGGAAAATGAAGACATTTAACAATGGATTTGTCAGCCCCTGAAAGTCTAAGGAAAGATATTTTTACATTACCAGATTTAAAAAAAAAAAAAAATCTAGTTCCTCTGACACAGGTTGTTGACTAATCCATGTATCTATGCTTTAACACAGCAGCAAAAGGAAACCTTAGATTTCTCCTACCCCAAGATAATTTTTAATAACATTTATTCAGAATAAACTGAATTTACACAACCTGATAAACAACTGAAGCTATGTACAATCTCTGAACCTGGCCACCAAGGAATGCAAACAACTGTATCTGGCTTAATGCAATGTGACTTAATGCAATGTGTGGCAAGTATTCCAGCTTGTTCAATAAAGTATGATAAGACCACTGCATATATCTTAATGTGATCCTTTTGTCAATAAATTATGCTGATTGGACACCAAACCACCATGTCTTCTTCAATAAATTATGATCCCAAGAAACCATGAGGGCTCGTCTAAACCATTCCATATGTCTTAATGAAGTATTTCTTAAACTCTTTTTTCTCAGGGCCTCTTCCCACTTTTAACAATCCTGAAGGACTCCAAAGCAGATTTTGTTGGTATGGGTTATATTTATCAATATTTATCGAATTAAAAATTAAAGCTGAATTTTAATATTGTATTATTTTTCAACATAGACTAGCACATTTTGATTTTGTGGGTTGCTGAAAGCACCTAGGGGAGACCTCTAGAGATTGTAGGATCACATTTTAAAAAACACCGTCTTAATGTTTTTGTCTTAAAATGTTTTTCTCAAGCCATTGCTGATTAGTCAATACATTCAGTTGATCACAAACTATGATGTGCGAATAAACATATGACTGAATAAACGTATGAATAAACATACTCATTAAGAAGCAATAATCCTCTTTCTGCATTTAAGATTCACTTGATCTTATTTACCCACCAGATGTTAAAATGTTTCATTCAAAACACTGGAATAGAATATCCTGGTTTTCGGGGGGGGGGGGGGAAGGCCAACAGTAGATGACTGTCATCATGTTTGATGGGGTGTCAGAATTTTTGTTTTGCATGATGCTGGATTACAGGTAGACCTCAACTTACAACCACAACTGAGCCCGGAATTTCTGTTGCTAAGTGAGTCATTTGTTAAGTGAATCTTGTTCCATTTAACAACCATTCTTGCCACAGTTGTTCAGTGAATCACTGCAGATGTTAAGTTAGTAACACAGTTGTTAAGTGAATCTGGCTTCCCCACTAACTTCCCCATTAACAAAAGGTAATCTCATAACCCCGGGGATACTGCCACCGTCATAAATATGAGTAAGTTAAAAAACAAGTGTCTGAATTTTGATCGTGTGATCATGGGGATGCTGCGATGGCCCTGTGAAAAATGGCCATGTCATTTTTTTCAGTAATGTTGTAACTTTGAACGGTCACTAAATGAACTGTTATAAGTTGAGGATTGCCTGTATTTGAGGAATAGCAAGCAAGCACAGTTAGATGTCAACAGATCCCCACATACAGCAAAAGGACTTTTTAGGGGCTGCCACAAAGAGCGGGGGTTCAACCTTTTCTCCAAAGCACCAGAAGGCAAGACAAGAAACAATGGAGGGAAACTAATCAAAGGAGAGAAGCAACCTGGAATTAAGGAGAAACTTCTTAACAGTGAGGACAATCAACCAGTGGAACAGCTTTGCCTTCAGAGGTTGTGGGTGCTTCATAACTGGAAGTTTTTAAGAAGAGACTAGACAGCCACTTGTCTGACATGGTATATAACGGGTAGGCAACCTTGGCTCTTTTATGACTCGTGGACTTCAACTCCCAGAATTCCTGAGCCAGCATGGCTCAGCTTGGAAACCTCTCCCTTTCCCCTCAGCATGGCTGGCTCAGGAATTCTGGGAGTTAAAGTCCACGAGTCATAAAAGAGCCAAGGTTACCTACCCCTGGTATATAGGGTCTCCTGCTTGAGCAGGGGGCAGGATCCGAGGTCCCTTCCAGCTCCATTTTGATTGATAGTTTTATGTTAACAGAGTAAAGTCATCTTTGAATCCTATTTTCGGCCCTCAGTCAAAGGCAACTACTCTGGCTTCACACACAGTCACAAAGTTACAACTCTGGGGAGGAGTTGCAGCCATAACAGAGAAATGAAAAATAGAAAAGTCTTTTAATAAATTCGATCAACAGATTCTTTCCCAATGTAGCCTCCTCCGGCCATGTTTTCAACCTAGCTAGCCTAGCTCTTTCTATGATTACATTACAACCCTGAGCAATTCAACCCTGTGTAGTGACCTTCGAGTGGGTGTGATGAAAGCCATGCTTTCATCACATATTGTTTTTATTTTCTTGCATGTTAGCCCATTCCTTGTCAATGCAGAGCAGGGGAAGTCGGCTGAGGAATTCTGGGAGTCGAAGTCCACACATCTTTACACTAAGGCCAAGGTTGAGAAACACAGGGATAGCCCAACACTGTAGGATTTCAAGTGGTTTCCCTCCCCGGTTCTTTGCCAAGTCCAACCTCGCTTAGCTTTATTCGACAATGCGGAGGTCTTGATTACCCCAGTCTGCACGTTTGCAACACTGCACTTCCCTGTAACCGTTGCAATCTTCTGTTGTTGCAACGTCTGCAGCTACAATGTACCCGCGGTTTCCCGGCCAAAAGAGCTTCTCCTTCCTCTGTTCAAAGCAAAATAATAATAACAATCCAGATTGAGAATAATAATTGATTGCATTTCCAGGGATTGGGGTGGGGGGAGAGAGAGAGAAAGGGAGGCACCCTCGCGCTTGCAGTTTCCTCCCCCTTTTGCAGGAAGTGACACACGTTCGCAACCGGGTCAGCTGGGACTCCGCTTTCCTCGCCCACCCCTCGCAACTTCGCAAAGCCTGGGCGCTCAGGCGGGCGCATGGGATTCCTGCAATGGGAAGGTGGAGGCTGTTGTGGCGGTCTTGGGGCTGCAGTAAGAGCAATTTCTCGGCACCCACGGTCAGTAAAATGCTCTCCCTACCGCCGCCCCTTCTCTTTGTTTTTTGTTTTTTTGCAAAACGCCGAAGTGTGCAAAAAGTTAAGGCGGGGTTGTTTTGCAACAATTGCCACCATGCACGGCTAGCTCCCAAGCCCGCGGACGTGCAGAAGGCAATGCTTGCCAATGGAGGCGGAGAGGTGTGGACCCTACGATCGGGGGGGGGGGGAGATGTGTGTGTGTGTGTGTGTGTGAAAGGGTTTAAAGGGGAACAGGGAGTTGTATGCAAACCGTTCTGTAAAGCGATCCCGTGCAAATGCAGAGCCAGGATCGCGTGCAGGTGGTTTTTGCGTGCAGCGAAGCCAGCCCCGTTTCGCTTTGCTAAACGCGAACCTCCGAGGATCCAGATGGCCAGGACGCTGGCTTTGTCCATAGCATGGGGAAGAGAAGTGTTTCCTCTCTCCCCCCCCCCCCAACTTCATGGAGATGATGATAGCTCCCGTTTTATAAATTTTTATAAAATTAAGCGCGTTTAATGCCAGAAAGGTCCTCCGATTCCAGTAGAGGATCCTTTGATTTCGCCGCGAAGTTTTATATTCTCGCTTTTTCCGCGGTGTGGATTATTTATACCTAGAATGATATACATCGCCTTGCCCTGCTGTATTCAATCGTGGGTTTAGTTATCTTTCGGGAAGCAAATAAAACCCGTTTAAATACAGGTTTGCTGCTGGAGATCACTCTAGAAGAGATCTGCTGAAAAACGAATGCGGGGGGGAGGGGGGATAAGAGTCAGAAAATCAGCATAAAACCACCACGGATTGGTAAAAGATTTGTTAGCTTTCCTTAAAGGAGATGCCTCTTTCTGTTCTTTCGACATTCACCATCAGCCTTTAGCTCTGTTCATTCCAATTTTCCATTTATAAGGAAACCACATCTAGCTAAATAAGCAATGTACCCTCTCGGTTTGTGTGTGGGATGTGGACAGGTGACAAAAGACTAGCTTTTGCTGGGTAGATGGGAGGGAGAAGGCTGCTTCTCTGAAGTCTTTGAAATTCTAGTTTCTCCTCATTGAGAAGTGGGAGTGTACAACTTTAATAGATACAATATATGTAAGATACAGTAATTTATCTCCTGTAAGACATAATCTCTCGGTCTCTGGGTACAAACAATTTAAGGATCTTTCCTCCATATTAAGAAAAGGAAAACATATAATAGCCATCAAGGTTTTAGTGAAGGATTGCTGAATTCTCATGGTTGTGCTAAGCCATAGTTTTAACCATGATTTATTACACTTTATTGAGTCCAAACAGTATGCTAAGCCGTTAGCCACCCATTAATGAAAAATTCTCTCACTAAACCAGAGGAGCCAAATTCTAGTTAAAAAAAGTTTATTGAGGAAATACAGGAACAAGGAAAAAGATGGTTATACAAAACTCCCAATAAAATCAATATAATCTGTTTAAATAAACAATTTTTTTACCTCCTTGAGTAAGATGTTGGATTCCAATACATGTTGGAGGTTCATTGATCAGAGTCTAGTTTGAGGGATGTCATCAGGGCCTTCTGCTTGGATGTTGACAGGCAGGGACCTTCTTTCCTGGAGTGCTTCTCTGTTTTACATAAAGTGGAAGGTAGATCAGAGCCAACCTCTCTGGGCAGAGTGACTTTTATTTCGTCCAATCAAAGCCAGTCCTTTTTGTCTGATGTCTTAAATCTAGCTAGCAAATCAGAAATTACCTAATGGTTAGACCCACCTTCATAGCAAGGTAGAATATAAAGACTATATAGTTTAGTGTTTAGTAGTTGTGTTATATCAATAGAAATTTCATTTGAGCAAACAAAGTCTGGATCCCATTTATTTACATCTCACAGCGTATGACTAACGTATTAGATGTATATTGGGCAGTTAAGATAGCATAGTTTCTGTGCCTAAAGAGTTTAAACAGTTACATGTTAAAAATTACAAATGTTTCCCTTACTCCCTGCAGAGGAGCCATTATTTTTTCCAAAGCTTTTGTGACTTTTCTTCCATCATTATCCTCTGGGAAAGTCTAGTTAGGATACAGATGTTCATGGGGAGATACATCTCCAAACACTAGATCAACCTTGAACCCTGTCCATTTCATCAAAATGGCTGCATCATGGGCTTTATTTAATGATACCTCTTTCTTCAAGCCTGTTTTATACCCTGCCCTTCAGTGGTAGCTCAGAGCAAGGTAGATGGTACAATCATTGAGAAGAGCAACAAAGATGATCAGGGGACTGGAGGCTAAAATATATGAAGAACGGAATTGGGTATGTCTACTTTAATGAAAAGAAGGACAAGGGGGAACATGATAGCAGTGTTCCAATATCTCAGGGGCTGCCCCAAAGAAGAGGGAGTCAAGCTATTTTCCAAAGCGCCTGAAGGCAGGACAAGAAGCAACGGGTGGAAACTAATCAAGGAGAGAAGCAACCTAGAACTAAGGAGAAATTTCCTGAAAGTTAGAACAATTAACCAGTGGAACAACCTGCCTCCCGAAGTTGTGAATGCTCCAACACTGGAAGTTTTTAAGAAGAGATTCGATAACCATTTGTCTGAAATGGTATAGAGCAGACATGTCAAACACAAGGCCCGGGGGCCGGATGCGGCCCGCGAAGTGGTTTCATGTGGCCCGCGAAGCCATCCTGGAGGGAACAACCCCCGCTGCCTTGGCCCTGGCCCAGGCCATCTGGGAGCCAATGTACAATTTTATGGTGGCCATCTATGCTGAAACACATTCAGTCTTAGCTCCACAAGGCCGTCTGGAAACAGCGAGGAACCAGTCCCTGCCGCGTCGGTCCCACCCCCTGGGTGCATGCTGGGGAGGTGTCACCCTTTGTGAGGAATGAAGAAATGGACCATGCCTTGGTGCTTGCCCCGGTTCCACCCCCTTCTGCCAGAGACCCTCAGATTTGTCCCACTCCTGCCCAGGCCCCCACAGGCACCCTTGATGCGAACAATGTAGAGCTGGCCATGCCCACCCAGTAGGCCACACCCACTCCAGCCATGCCCACCCAGTAGGCCACACCCACCCTGGCCACACATCCCCGGTCCCCCCCCCCGATGGCGCAATGCTGTTGCGGCCCTCAGTGAAATTGAGTTTGACACCCCTGGTATAGAGTTTCCTGCCTGAGCAGAGGGTTGAACTAGAAGATCTCCAAGGTCCTATTCTATTCTATTCTATTCTATTCTATTCTATTCAAAAAGACACAAGACAAGGATGTCTACTATCCCCACTGCTATTTATCTTAACTTCAGAAGTTTTAAATAGAAACATTAGGCAAGATCCAGAAATTAAAGGATTGAAAATAAAAGATGAAACCTATAAATTGCAAGCATTTGCAGATAGTTTGGTATTGATTGAGGAACCTTTAGAGACGATTCCTAAACTGTTGGAAAAGATAGAACAATTTGGAGAGATAGCAGGACTAAAGATAAGTAGAGAGAAAAACCAAAGCGATAGTTAAAAAATCTTACAGATAAACAAAAAAAAAGCAACTGTCAGAAAAAAATAGAATTGCAAATAGTCAAAAAGGTCAAATACTTGGGAATATATCTGACAGCAAGATGTTCGACAATAAAAGAAGATAACTATATTCAATTGTTAAATCAAATAAAGCTTGATTTGGAAAAATGGAATCCCATCCCATCCTATCCCATTCCTAAAGCAGGGCTCCAGTTATCTCTGGTCAGTGGTGAGGGGTATGAGAGTTGTAGACAGAAAATATCTGGAAGGGACCAGAGGGAGAGAGCATAGAGAACGACCTTGAAGGACAGAAGCACTGAGCAGCTAAGCTCATCTAATGTCAGATAAGAAGGGCTAGAGCCCCGCCCAAGAATGTAAGGTGAGTTGACATTTCAGAGAAGCTCCTCCCAGGTTCACCTGAAGATAAAGCGAGGGCCGTGGAAGCAGTTATTATAATAACTGTATTCTGATCTACATGGCTATATAGATGACTAACCTGAGCCCAAGGATGGATTCAAATACACCATCAGTTTAGTGTCTCTATGCCCCTGTAAGAGACTTAAGTCCAGCCCCCCCTCCCCTTTGAAGTCCATTGACTCTTATCTGGTGCCAATTTGCCTTGTCCATTAGTAGTTCAGAATCTTGAGTATTGGTAGCATGGAATAAACTTGTTGCATTTTTGAACTCTATTCTGGCTCCTGACTTCTCGCACCTGAGAATGGCATCCGTTTCTTAATCTGGTCTACCTGGTTGGGCTGACACTCGGTTGCCTGCACAAATGGGTGGAAGATAGTCTATACAGGTAGTCCTTGACTTATGACCATAACCGAGCCTGCAATTTTGGTCATACGTTGTGATGATCATTGAGCAGATCACCACAGGACCGTTTTAACAACCTTTCGTGTGGCAGTTGTTTTAGCAACAGTTTTGCAATCTTTTTTTGTGTGTGTGTGTGGCAGTCATTCAGTGAACGCCATGGTCGTTAAGCAAATCCATTATTTGCAACATGCCAGAAGACATAAAACACCAGTTTCCAGCAAAAAAAATTAAATGAGGTCACATGACTGCAGGACACTGCAAACAGCAGGAAAGGCAGGCCAGTTGCCCATCATTTGAATTTTGGTGACTATGGGTACACTGCGATGGTCATAAGTATGAAATAGGATTGTAAGTTGTTTTTTTTTAAAAAAAATCAAAGGGTCACTAAAGGAATGGTTGTAAGTCAAGGATTATCTGTATTGTGTTTTGTGGGTATAGATCGATGGGTTATTACAGTGGTGGCGAACCTATGGCATGCGTGCCACAGGTGGCACTCAGAGCCCTCTCTGTGGGCACGTGCACTGTCACCCCAGCCCTGCCTCCCCCCCGTGGCCCCTTCCTCACCATCAGCCCCCCCCCGGAGGAGAGTTGCCCCCAAGCGCGGCCTGCATGGAGCAGCGCAGCCAATGATGTAGCTGGGCAGCGCGCGCAAGACTCCACCCTTGTGCCCCATCACGCGCAGTTGATGTTGCGGGGTGCAGTCAGAGGGCATGGCCGCCATGGCGCTGCTGGGCTGCCTGGGCGATATGCGGTGGACCGTGGAGGCAGTGAATAGCCCTACGGGTGGGCCGGGCGGGGGTGAAGCAGGCAGGATGGAGGTGGATCGGGGGCGGGATAGGGCGGGGCTGGATTTTGGGCACTCAGTCTCTAAAAGGTTCGCCATCACTGGGTTATTAGGAGAACCCAGCTCCAAGAAAGAGTGTTGCTTAAGCAAATATGCCAAGTTTTGTCTTGCCTCCTTTTGACTTTCCAGGTACTCCACTACCGGAATGCCTCCTCCCTTGCTCTCCCCCGGCAACCTGTGCCATCGTTGGCCCAAACCATGAGCCAATACCTGCACTCTCTGGAGCCCCTGGTGAGCCCCAAGGACCTGGAGCAGACACGGCAGCTGGTGGCAGCCTTTGAGGCCCCAGGCGGAGAAGGCGAGAGGCTCCAGGTGCGGCTGAAATGCAGAGCGGCCCGCATGGAGAACTGGGTAAGGAAAAGAGCTCTAGAGGGCAGTGGGAAAACTATGGAGCCCTAGGGGCGCAATGGACAGAATGCAGTATTACAGGCCGACTTTGCCCACAGTCTGGAGTTCGATCCTGACTGAGCTCAAGGCTTGACTCAGCCTTCCATCCTTCCGAGGTTGGTAAAATGAGGACCCAGATTGTTGGAGGGGGGGTAACATGCTGACATTGTAAACTGCCCAGAGAGTGTTGTAAATCACTGTAGGGCAGGGGTTCTCAACCTTGGCAACTTTAAGACTTGTGGACTTCAACTCCCAGAATTCCTCAGCCAGCTTTGCTGGCTGAGGAATTCTGGGAGTTGAAGTCCACAAGTCTTAAAGTTGCCAAGGTTGAGAATCCCTGCTGTAGGGGCAGTATAAAAATCTTATTGCTATTGCTATTGCTGTGTTTCTAGCGAATCCTATCCAATGCTTGTTCCTATGGCACTATCGGAAGGTTGCAAATTCTGATTCCTGGAGAGTAATTGAATGGTGGTGTCCAACGTCTGCTCCCATGTTGCTTTCCTGAGAATGACTCCTTTCTCCCACTTGGTGCCCACCAGATGTATTGCAACCAGCCCCCCCCCCAAATTCTACAACCTGTGAACTAGATGTTCCCAAAGGAGCCACAAATGCTAAATCAAGAAAAAAGTTCAAACTTGCAGTTCTGCCTTGATAAGGAAGTTTCAAGCCAGCATCGCTGGTCCAGCCATCCACTAACACCCCTTTCCTGTTTTTGTGACTCTGAAACCCACAAATAATTCTGGATTTATGTTGGTTGCTTTGTTTCTTGTTAAGCCTTCACTTAAAAATTAATGCTTCTGTCTCTCCAGTAATGTCACCATGTCATCAAAATAGCTTTGTGGCCTTAATGCCCTGATTGTTTTTTTTTTTTTAAGTGCAATTTTTTATCTCCAAAAAAGTGTCCTCTCCATGCAAAAATCTTAAGGATTTCAGGATTCATACTAATGGGAAAAGTGGTGAGGGAACTACTGGGCACTACTACCCCTAGTTGCTTATTTGATGGGAACTAAAGAGCTCTATAGCTGTCTTGTCACAGAAATGAATCACCAAGTGGATGCCAAGTTCATAATGATCAATATAGGGCCTACTTATGAGCATTTGCTGGGGGCAAGAGGAGGACAGATAAAATGGATGTGACAGTGTCATTGTGCAAAGTTACAACTCACATACTTGCACTAGATGTTGGACCACAGGTACACAGTGGCAATGTTTGCACGATGATTCACTCCATGTGCATCACGATCTAGGAATCATCGTAGTTTGCCGTAGATTCTGTTGGGTCTTCTCACAGAAGCTGGTGAGCTCCACATGTATTGGATCAATTTCTGCACATCTGGGGGGACACTTAAGCAGGGGAAGGCTGTCATATCAATTTACTACTAAAACTCTTGTGTCTGTTTGATTGTAACCTTCAGTTGTGCATAATGGTGTATCACAGGGCAACAATTTTTGAATCCAAACACCTCAAATGGGCTAACTTACAAAATGCACTCAAAATCCAGGACCCATGACTCCCTTGAGTCATGGGTCCTGGATTTGGGGTGCGTTTTGTAAGTTAGGGACTAGGGATTGAACTTTGGCAAAGTTGTGGATGCCTCAGTGCTGCCACTCTGTCCCACCACCATAGTAAGCTGCAGTCATGCAATTGTCATTTTCAGTGCTCCCTGTCAAATTCCCACAAGGAAAGTCAATGGGGAAGCCAGCAGGAAGTCCAAGGTTTATTTATTAAATTTATATGCCACCCATCTTTCTGTTGAACCACTCTTGGTGGCTTGCAATATCATAAAACAGCAATATAAAACCATTAGAACATTAAAACAGGAAAAACGTTGACTTTTAAAAGCTGCTCCTACTCCCACTGCTTTTTTGCCTAGCTGTGGTCATTCTGTTTCTCTATTTAAGTAAGGAAATATCTCTGAAACAATGACCCAGCGGGTCACAGGTTGTCTAGTTTGAATTAGACAATTGAACCTCTAAACCCTTCCAAGTATGCAAACAAGCAAACATGATAGTCTTATTAGACTTTGTCTTCAGTGTTCACCACACAGTGTTCTTTTCATTGTTATTTTAATGACCCTTGCGACAGTGGGGAGCTGATAATTAATAGTTTGGAGGAAGATGTTAAAGCTATCTCTGTTTTGGTCCACTGAAGCTAGACTTTCCTTTCAGGGAGAAATAATGTTCAATCCACGCTTGACGGACTTTATGAATTATCCCGGCTGGATGTGGCACAAATGCAAAAATGCAATTTATATAACTTCTTTTTGGTGCTGTATAAAATTGATTTTTTTACCCTAAAGCATGGCAAGTTTCCCACCCTCTCTCTTGGAATTTACAACTATAAATTCCTTGGAGCAGAAACTTGTACTCTGCAAAAAACAGCTCTATGTATTGCTTGAAAAGTTTTCATATATTTTAAATTTCTTGGTGCTCTGTATACTTGTTTTTTTTAATTTACTAACAGCATTTATTGGCTGCCCCCATCTGGCCAGTTAAGGGCAGTGTACATCAGCAAACCAATAACAGAATATTTCAGTAATTATACACAGCTAAAAACTCATTCACAAAACAATAAACAAGCACAAATGAGATGAGCTGCTCTAATCACTCTAAAATAAGTCCTCTTTAAGGGCCATCCTGAGCACAAGGAAGCACAAGGAATCATTCCTTAATTATGTGGCTGTCACATGTAAGCCCACCTCTTGTCTTTTTATGGAAAAGCACTGATACCAGAAATGATGTGTTAGCAATATTCCAATATTTGAGGGGCTGCCACAAAGAAGAGGGGGTCAAACTATTCTCCAAAGCATCAGAGGGCAGGACAAGACACAATGGTTGGAAACTAACCAAAGAGAGAAGCAACTTGGAATTAAGGAGAAAATTCCTAACAGTGAGAACAATTAACCAGTGGAACAGCTTGCCTCCAGAAATTCTGAGCACTCCATCACTGCAGGTTTTTAAGAAGAGACAGTCACTTGTCTGAAATTGTTCTCTGCTTGAACAGGGAGTTGGACTAGATTATCTCCAAGGTCCCTTCCATATTCTATTCTATTCTATTCTATTCTATTCTATTCTATTCTATTCTATTCTATTCTATTCTATTCTATTCTATTCTATTCTATTCTATTCATATAAGTAGTAGTAATGAATTTCCCTGTGTCTTACAGAAATGCTTATAAGACTTATAGTCTGCCCAATTCCAGAGGCTCTAGGCATTTTTTTTGTAGCTTCATATATTTTTAGAAGCAAAGTACAGCTAGTCCTTGACTTAGGACCACAACTGAGCCCAAAATTTATGTTGCTAAGTGAGAAATTTGTTGAGTGAGTTTTGTCCCATTTTATGACTTCTCGCCACGTTTGTTAAATGAATCACTGCAGTTCTTAAATTAGTAACTTGGTCGTTAAGTGAATCTGGCTTCCCCATTGACTTTGCTTGTCAGAAGGTCCCAAAATGTGATCACATGACCCCGGGACACTGCAACTGTCATAAACATGAGTCAGTTGCTAAGTGTCAGAATTTTGATCACGTGACCGTGGGGATGCTGCAATGGTCGTAAGTGTGAAAAATAGTCGTGTGTCAGTTTTTTCAGTGCTATTGCAACTTCAAACAATCATTAAGTGAACTGTTGTTAATCAAAGACTAGCTGTAGGTCTCTTTGTCTAAAGGCAACGGGGTAGAAATCAGGATCAGAGGCCTCAATGGAAGTGGAGCAGGAGCAGATTGCAACCTCAGTTGAGTGTTGCATCCTGATGCAGCTGATTCTATAATCAGTTCTATAATTCTGATAAATTCTATAATCTGGGTTTGCGTGACGATATGACAGATGTACCTTCACTGTGACTTCTAACAGTTTCCTATGCATCCAATATACCAGTGATGGCGAACCTATGGCACACGTGCCAGAGGCGGCACTCGGAGCCCTCTCTGTGGGCACGTGCGCTGTTGCCCCAACCCCACCTCCCCCCATGGCCCCCTCCTCACCAGCAGCCCCCCGGAGGAGAGTCATCACCAGGTGCGACCTGTGTGGAGCAGTGCAGCCAAGGACATGGCAGCCGGGCAACAGGGACAAGACTCTGCTCTCATGCCGTGTTGTGCAGAGATGATGCTCCGGGGCACGGGTGGAGGGTGTGGCCGCCATGGCGTTGCAGGGCTGCCTGGGAGATCTGTGGTGGGCCATGGAGGCAGTGGATGGCCCTGTGGGCGGGGCAGAGGGGGTGGGGTGGGGGTGGAGTGGGGGTGGGGGTGGGCCGGGGCAGGACAGTTTTGGGGCACTCGGTCTCTAAAAGGTTCGCCATCACTGCAATAGACCCTTTTCCTTCCCCACACATTCTGACGATTGATGGATGACACATATTCTAACCTTACCTAATTCATCGTAGATCAGAGATTGGTGGATTCAGACAGCCTATTTGGAGAATCATCTTCCCCTGGTTGTTCACTCAAGCCCAGCTGTTGTCCTACCCAAGCAGGATTTCAGTGACTGGAGAGGACAATTGAGGTAAGACATCCGGGTGAGATTAAAAAAAAAATGACTCCTTGGGTCAAGGAGTGGAGGTGTCGTGGTTGTTGAGAGAGGAATCAGGCCTTTGGGGAAGGAAAGGGAATGATGAGGACAGTGATTGAATTGATACATGGGGTTCAATCATGGTTTAACCAACATTTTTTAGAATAAACCATAATTTGCTAAATTTCATTTAACATGCTGAACACAAACCATGTTTTACATATCACAGTGCCTGGGCTTTCAGAATATGTTAGCCCACAAACAAAATATGTGATATTTTAGAATGTATTAACCTAGTTTTAAGATTTCCAGAACTACCTTGTTTTATGGCTGGGGCTCTGTTGTGTAACATGGCTTGGATTTAGCTTAACCAAATGAGATAGTCAGGTATCTAAATAATGGTTGATGGTTAAACATGTTGCGAAAACTTAACCAGCTGTGGTTCCTATCACTCCATTTGCAGTATCTTAACATCTCAAGATAAGGTTGCAAATTGAGCTTTTTTTTTTTTTTTTTTAAAGAAAATGTGGGATGGTTTCAAGAATACAGATGGAAGCGACCTGCTCTGTGTCATCACTAAAATGAAAAGTGGTCAAAGAAACACACCCCCCGGGGACATCAAGGCATCTGCTGAGGCCTTCAAAGGATGGGGTTGAATTGTAGGCCCTAATCCAGTGATGGTGAACCTTTTAGAGACCGAGTGCCCAAAAACTGGTCCCGCTCCTGCCCTGCCCCCGCTCCACTCTCTGCCCCGCTCCTGCTCCGCCGCACCCAGCCTGCCCGCAGGGCCACTTACCGCCTCCAGGGCCTGCCGCAGATCGCCCAGACAGTCCAGCAGCGCCATGGCAGCCAGGCCCTCTGCCCGTGCCCCACAGCATCAACTGTGCGTGTTGGGGCATGAGTTTAGAGCAGTGGTTCTCAACCTTTTTAATGCCGCGACCCCCAACCGGTCGTAAGTCGAGGACTACTCAACCGGTCGTAAGTCGAGGACTACTCAACTGGTGCAGCACCCTTTGCAGAATGGGACTTTTGGCGGGCTCAGCAGGGCAGAGACAGCCTGGACAATTCCTATTGGCTTTTGAAAGCCAATCGAATTAGACTCTATTCAAGAGAGTCTATTCTATGGCTTTCAAAAGCCAATAGAATAAAAGGGAGGAGCACAGCTAAGGAAAAGGGGGAAAAAATGGCGGACTGCGTTGTTTGGCGACCCCCGTGAAATGGTTGTTCGACCCCAAATGGGGTCGCGACCCACAGGTTGAGAACCACTGCTTTAGAGTCTTGTCTATGCTGCCTGCCTGCCACGTCTTTGGCTACAGTGCTCTGCATGGGCCACACTCGGGGGCAATTCTCTTCCAAGGGGGCTGCTGGTGAGGAGGGGGTCACGGGCGAAGGCAAGGCTGGGGCAGCGTCACGTGTGCCCACAGAGAGGACTCCGAGTCCCGCCTCTGGCACCCGTGCCATAGGTTCGCCACCACTGCCCTAATCCATAAAACTGAGGTCCTCGTTATTGTGCAGCACCCAAAATTTATGTTGCTAAGTGAGGCAGTTGCTAAGCGAATTTTGCACCGTTTTTCGATTTTTCTTGCCACAGTTGTTAAAGTGAATCCTTGCTTTGAGGGCCTCAGAGGGTAGTAACACTGTTGTTAAGTGAATCTGGCTTCCCCATTGACTTTCCTTGTTCAGAAGGTCGCAGAAGGGGATCACCTGATCCCGAGAAGCTGCAACTGTCATAAAGATGAGTCAGTTGCCAAGCATCTGATTTTTGATATGGGACATGGGGATGCTGCAACGGTCGTAAGTGTGAAAAACAGTCATAAGTCAGTTTTTTCAGTGCCGTTGTAACTTTGAATGGTCACTAAATGAACTGTTGTAAGTCTTGGACTATCTGTACTCCAGTCTAGAAGCTGAACCAGCACTGGCAAAATACCAGCAGGAATCATAACACCGACAATAGGTCTGTAGTGTGTGCTAAACACAAATGCTTTGAAGCTAGGAGCATTGTTTGAAGAACTCTTTATTCCAAGATACACATCGAGCTGAATCTGGTGTAAAATGAAGTGTAATTAAAATTTGTGTGGGTGGCCAGTCAAACAGAGATCAACGTCACATAAATTCACCTGTGGCTGGGAGCCACTGGAAAGGGGTGTAACCTAATGAGTATCCTTAACTAGATTGCATGAGAGGAACAAGTGTGGGGGTATAGCTCAGCGGTAGAGCATTTGACTGCAGATCAAGAGGTCCCTGGTTCAAGTCCGGGTGCCCCCTTATTTTAGGGGAAAAAAGGAGTGTTTTGTGTTCTGTGTCACCAGAATGAGTGGAAAATAAATATTGAGGCAGTTTCCCAAGACTACGGTCTTAATTTGACATTCGTAGTTATTGGGGTTAGATGGTGGTTGGTTGCTTGCTAACCATTCTCAGCCACACCTCCTTGGGAAAGAAGGAATATCTTCCTAATTTGAACTATTTGGATATAAAGGTTGGTAGTTGGTAAAACCTGGAGGACTTGTAAACAGCAGGGAATATATTGTGAAATATATTTTCCCATCCACACTGAGAAGCAAGAAGGGCCTTTTTTATTTTTAAAAGAAAGCGGCCCGTCATTTATACAGGTAGCCCTCGACTTACAACCACAGTTGAGCTCAAAATTTCCATTGCTAAGGAAGAAGGTTGTTAAGTGAGCTTTGCCCCATTTTATGACCTTTCTTGCCACAGTTCTCAAGTTAAGTCACCGCAGTTGTTAAGGTAGTCACGAGGTTGTTTAGCGAATCTGGCTTTTCCCTTGACTTTGCTTGTCCGAAGATCACAAAAGATGATCACATGACTCCGGGACGGGGCAACCGTCATAAATATTTTGATCACGTGACCACAGGGAGGCTACAATGGTCATAAGTGTGAAAAATGGTCCTATTTTCAGTGCCACTGTAACTTCGAACGCTCACTAAATGAGTAAATGTAAGCTGAGGACTACCTGTACTAGGTTGGGTGGGGTAGGGAGTCTTCTATTTTAACTGGCCTGGGTATCTGACCAGAATTCACCTTGACTTCTCCAAGGGAGAAAGGAAATTGATGCTAAATTAGAAGAGGCAGCCTGAAAATCCTTACTGATCAGGGTAAGATCTTGGATTTCCCCCCAGTTCTAAATGAGGAGATGAAAGGATGGCTTTGTCTTCTCAACGTTGAAGAGATTTGGACCCCTTGTTTCTCACCAGTCCTTTCTCCAGAGAAGCAGGAGACCTGGGAAATGTTTTGAGCTTCACAACCTTCAGGAGAAGCTAGAGAAAGTTGCTAGAGCAGACATGTCAAACACAAGGCCCGGGGGCCGGATGCGGCCCGCGAAGTGATGTCATGTGGCCCACGAAGCCATTCTGGCAACAGGCCAGCCGGGAGCCAATGTACAATTTTGTGGTGGCCATCTGTGCTGAAATGCATTCAGTCTTAGCTCCACAAGGCCGTCTGGAAACAGCGAGGAACCAGCCCCTGCCGCGTCGGCTCTGCCCCCTGGGTGCATGCTGGGGAGGTGTCACCTTTTATGAGGAATGAAGAAATGCACCATCGCCTGGAAGTGGCCAGCAAATGGCCCTCGCCTACTTCACATATCCGGTTTGATGGGCTCTGCTCTGGTCCCACCCCCTTCTGCCAGAGATTCTCATATCTGTCCCACTCCTGCCCAAACTCCCACAGATACCCTTGATGCGAATGATGTAGAGCTAGCCACTCCCACCCAGTAGGCCACACCCACCCCATCCATGCCCACCCAGTAGGCCGCACCCCCCCTTGGGCAACCGCAATGCTGATGCAGCCCTCAATGAAATTGAGTTTGACACCCCTGTGCCAGAGGATGAAAAGTTTCCTCCATAAGCAAGCGGGCAAGATGTTTTCCATCCCCTTTTGAGCATCATCAAAGCATTATTCTCGTCACATAAGACCAGGGTGGAAAAGGCCATTCTCCAGACACGGGTGAATGTTGTATCTTGATGATGCTCACTATTGAGGATCTTGGTTGCATGTGTAGAGCTTTGTGTTTATATCTGAAGAAGGGCATTGTTGGCAGAAATGGTACTCACCATTCCTCTCTTCCCATAGAGAGAGCATCCCTAGAAAGTTAGGACCTTTTTTTTAAGATTAGAAGGTCTGATGGAGAAGATGTGGCTATTCAGACTGTCTCCTAGAAGAGTATTCTGCTATAGGAAAACGGATGTAGAATTATAGGTGTAATATTTGAAAAATGATGGCTTCTAAATTGAGGGAAGAGAAACAAGCAGTAAAACCAGTACTCAAAATTAGACCTTAGGTGAGGTTTACCTATGTGCTGGGGGTATAGCTCAGCAGTAGAGCATTTGACTGCAGATCAAGAGGTCCCTGGTTCAAGTCCGGGTGCCCCCTTATTTTTTCCCCCCTTGAACTGAGGAGCTTGGATCCTCACTACCCTTTCTCCAGAGAAGTGGGAGACTGGGAAATTTTTGAGCTTCATGATATTCAGGAGAAGCTGGAGAAAGTTGCTAGAAGATGAAAAAAACCCTCCATAAGCAAGTGGGGAGAGTCCTTACCAGGCTCCTCTGTAAGCCCCATCAAAGAGTTATCCCCTTTCCTTAAGACCAGGCCATTTTCCATCCACTGATGAATGCCCAATCTTGATGGTGGTACCTATTACATGGTTTGGCGGCAGGTGTAGTTCAGCATCATCATCCAGGTTTTTCTGTTTCTGTTTTCTGAAGAAAGACATGGATGACAGAGTTGGTGCTCACCATTCATATCTTCCCACAGAAAGAGCATCTGTAGAAATTTAGCACCCTTTTTTTCAAAGTAGAAGGTCTGGTGGAGAAAATGTTGCCATTCAGATTGTCCTACAGATTGTTTCCCAGAACAATAGAGAAGGATCGTTCTGCTCCAGGAAACTTGTTACAGAATTACAGGTGTAGCATCTAAAAAGGATTACTCATAAATTTAGGGAAGAGAAATATCCAGTAAAACCAGTATCCAAAATGGAGCTTGGG